GTTCCGGGCATGTCTCTCGGCTGGCCTAGGAATGCCTTGGGGTCTACCCAGAGGAGCTGGAGGAAGTGTCCGGGGTGAGGAAGTTTGGGAGTCCTTGCTTAGACGCTCCCACGACCTGGCCCCGGATAAGTGAAAGAAAATGAATGATTGAATGGGTCTGCACTGAAAATCGGCTTAGCTCTACTCTGTTCCCCTACTGCTAAAGTTGGTATCTGGGCTAATACACATTCACACATTTCACACAAATTTTACAGTTTTTAAGGTTTAAACCAACTTCCTGGTTGGAAATTGTGACATTGCACTAAGGATCTCCATAACCTGCTTAGCAACCATGTAGTACACTGGTCCATAACTCGTCTTATGTACACATAAATTATTATCTGTCAAATAAAATTGTAATAGCTCATATAGCAACCTTAGCAGGTTAAGGAGGAACAGAGCAAACTGAGCTGATATTCCAGGTCATACCCAAGTGCAAATATAACAAAAGAGAGGTGCACAAAGTAAATAAAATAAACAAAACAAAACAAAAACATCATGGAAGCAACCTGCATACACAGCACCTTCAAACTGGATGAACTGGGGCTGGCTCCTAAGGCCACCTACCTTAACTGGGTAAGCTGGTAAATACAGGTAAGTACATGAATATTTTAAAAGTTATCCATAGCAAAACAGCTCTCTTTATTATTAATTTAGCAGTGATAAATTAGAAAATACTACACAGAAAAAGCTAAAATATGTGTGTACCCCTTCTCCTAAAAAACATGGTTGCCCTGGAACCTTCTTCGACTCCCTGGAGACTCTTTTAGCTGAAACACCTGAGCCAGACAACCAAAAAAGAGGTTAAGTACAGTTCAAAATATTTCAACAATTACTCAATTAAATACATTTTTACTCATTTTCTTATTGTTCCAGGTCACTATAACTGCCACATTCTTGAATCAGTTAAAATAAACATTTTAAACTTTGTCATTATTTTTACACATTTGCTTAAAACAGGCCTATGTAATGGAATATCTGGTAAGATACATTATACAAATATAAGAAACTTTTGGATAGATTGTTCTCTAGTGTGAAGTCATCAATATGGAGCTCTCTAAAATAGAACTCTTTTCTTCCTGTAATTTCTAACATGTTTTTCCAACTTTTTTTTTCCAGAATTTGCTTTTTGATTGGTAGAAAACTAGAATTTATATGTACAATAGTTCATCTGGCCAAATTAAATACAAATTTGAGAATCAGAAAAATATGTGATACACACTTTAAACTCTGCATTGCAGCAGCCATCTATAGTAAGAAATGAAAGGAATTCATTGAAATTATTTGACTCAAAAGCTTTTAAGAGCTGACATTTAAATTCACGTTAAAACAGCAGCCATAGTTCAGCATTGAGTTTGTCCTGAAATGTTATGAATTCCAAACTCCAAAATGTGATATACTTATGGTGCTAAAAATCTGCAGCTGGGCAGTCTGTGGGTAACATATGAAACATATTTATTTTTATTGACTTGTGAAATTTAATATGATCTATTTACATATTATGAATGATGATCTGCAGACGTTTTATTATGAGGCTTCTTTAAACTACAAGAAGCCTTTTTGAGTTCTTTGGTCTAAAATAACTGTAGAGCATGCATTCTCTCATCACTTGATGAGCTGTGGATATTTTTTATTATATTTATTTTCTTTGGTGTGCAATATGTCATGTTGAAGCTTCTTCTCTTAATTGTAGCCAATGGTTTGTAGAAAGTACTTCAGTGGATTTATTTGATCCTACTTCTTTACTATTTACTGGAGAATAACTGTCTAAAAAGCTATAGTCAGTGAAACAAAAAAATCTGTGGCTAAATCTGTTTTGAATTTTCTATATATACTCTAAAATCACTTTGTTGTCTGTTTATTCTTAGTGACCCTTGTTCCACTGGAGCATTCAAGTCACTGGTTTAAAAATGGCCTCACAGTTGAGCCTAGAGGAACTCCCCACAAAATAGTCATCATGAATCTTTCCTTGCATCACATTTTCCCTGGAATATTACCTCAAACATGGTCCGCTTTACTTCATGGGCGTGAATCATCATATGGCTATAAGACATCCGGGCCTCTGGATTTCAAGAGAAAAACATCACTGTATGATTTGTCCAGAGGTGAAAAATAACTTTTAAAATATTTTAAAATGATGTCTTGAAAGGTGCTATATAAATCCAATGATGAATTAATTAATAATATACATAATGTTACTGTAATAAAATATTTGCAGTAGTAAGTCTTTGTCCCCTGTTACTTTATTTGGACCAGTTACTTTTATTGTTAGTTGTTAGTAATCTAATTTTATGTTTTTAAATGATGTAGTTTTACCAGCTGTTGTATTACCTGAGTTTATTATGAGAGCTCCTTTGCTTCTTATAACTTCTCATAACTTGTGTCTGTATGGCTTGTGTTGTACAGTATATTGAATATTGTAAAAGACCCACAGAGTCTGTTGCTCCAGTAACCTGGTAACCATGACAACCTCTCTTTGTGTTAACTCAACTCTGAGCACTGTTGGAAATGTTATTAATCAGCACGTACTTGGTGAATGTTTTAAATCCAGCGCACTGACTCATATGTACCAGCTGAGTAGGCGCCTCCATGAGCCACATGTGCATTTTTCATTCTGTTTTTAACCAGACTTTTTTCTGTTTTTTATTTTTTCAAACTCCTGTAACATTTTAAAGGTGCATGATGTAACTTTTTTGGTGGAGGTGCGCCACCAGCTTGTCTCATGTTATTGCTTTGCCTGGAATGTTCCACAATTTAGTACAGTAAACATGAAGTGTCTCCATGGAGATAGATAATTTTTATGCCATTCTGTGAAAGGCAAAACAACATCTCCATGGAGAATAGGATTTGTGCATCTTTAAGTGATGAGAGATATGTCATGTGTATCCATGTGTGTTTTTGGCACACACTGGAAAATGAAAGTGTGTTTGGGGAAAATGGGGACATTGTTTTGTTAAAATGCGTGTAAGTTATTCACAGTGCTTTTTTTGGGATCCACACATGGCCATTTGTCTTTGTAAGGCCATAATGCTGAATCCATAAATCTGATATAATACGTAACTTAACATTTAGTTATATGATTATCAACTGATTTTATATTATCAGTTATTGCTATGTGGAGTATACATGGGCTCTAAAGCATTCCATGTGCTGAGAATAGAGGTTTTAATAGGAAGACAGTAAGTCAATTAAAAAGACATATTTACCATAATCTGGTTAAAATGTTTATTTATAATTTCTTGAATGATGTTTAATTTAACGTTTAATAATAAAAATGTACTGCTGAATGAAGATGCTAATTTGTCTTCAAGTTTGCAAAAGTGCTCTTTTGAAAATGTGCACAATCAGTCTGTAACAAAATCAAAGAAGAACAGAAAGAGAAAACCTTTTTTAGACTACTACTACTCAAGATAAAAAAAACAAAAAACATTAATAACATATTATCTCTGTACAGAAAATTAATTTGTTACATGCTTACAGTACAAAATACATTATTTGATTAAAGTTACCATTTTCATGGTAATTCCCCAAAAATGCATTACCCTTCACTGAACCAGAACACATAACTATAGCTCTGTTTCTTGTGGGACTTTCCCCTTGTAATCTCTTGTAGTCTCCTTTAATATCTAATAGAACATAGTAGACATATTTGGTTTCATTTATTTGGGGGTTTTGCCTACAGAAAAATGATAAAATCACATGGAAATACAGTTCCTCTTTCTGAGATAAATTTTAATTTCTATAACCCTAGAGATTTCTTGGATAGAAATATGGTTTCGATATTGGCACCACCCATGATATCTGATAATATTGTCTCAATCCAATATAAAACATTGTCACTGTCTCTCTGTGCCCATGGGTCATTTATAGTGTCCTATTGAAATAGAAGAGCAATGAAGAGATGGCTGCATATTTACACAACAATGCAACCTTTTTATCCCACATAAAAAATAAATTTATTACGCAAGTCAAAAGTAAATGTGTGGACTTTGCTATAACTTCACATAGATTTGTGACACTTGCTCTGAATTTTAAAATCTTAACAGAGGTTTTGGGAAATATTGGTTATCCACCACAGCAGCAAGACACATTTCAGTATTAGTTCAAAAGCACCCATCAGTCCATGTTCATCCCTATTTGTGTAGATGCTTTTTATTGTGGCTTCTATGTAAAAACAGGAGTTAATTTTCTCTTGTAAATCATTATCACATTTACTTTGTACAGGTCTTGGTGCGGTGGTGTAATTGTAAAATAGAGGAGAGATGGAGGAGGCTCGGAGGAGGAGAAGAAAGACGGGATAATAGAAAGATGGACAGCTGCAGAAGGACGGAGACCAAGAAAGTGGAGCTGCAGTGACTCATATGTGGCCTCATCAAGGTAAACAAACCAGTGGATTGCAGTGGATCTCTCCGCAGTAACAGGCTTACACTGTTAGTAGTAAATGCCATATCAATGAGCCATTTGGAATTTATATTTTTTATTTCAGCTTGTTTTAATTGTGTGCTGTAGTTGGCTGTAAGTATGGATGCTTAAGAGCATACACCCTGAACTATAACTAATACTCCTATCCATGGGTCTCAGAGTGATAAAACAATAGCACTGTTGCCATGGCAATTAACAAATTTAAACAAAATCTTTTCAATGGTGAAAAGCTCAAAGAGGTTGCCTAAGAACAGAAAGCAGAAACCAATGAATAGGCTAATAATGATGAGTTGTTAATTGTCTTAATATGGCAGGAGAGGTGTAGAGATATGTTTGCATACACAGCAGCTGTAGTGTGTTGGTCAATAAACACAATGTCTAACTCAAAATGATGGATAGTCTACAAGTGCAGAAGGAGTCACCCTGTCACCTACGTGTGATGTCCAACTGTCACTTAAATTACTGCACGCTCATATTGGTCACATGAATTCTTTCCATCTTCTGCTTATTTCCAACATAAACATTTCCACGCAGACAGCTTTCTACAAAAAATATATTTAATTTATTTATTTTGTCTCGTTTAGGTAAAAATACAGTACTTTTTCTTGACATATTAATACAATAAATAAATAACAAATAAATACGTCTTTGAAATAAATTAAAGTGTCTATAGTGAAACGTATGCCACTCTGGTATGTACAGGACATCCCATTTTCAAAGTCTGCGTATTCTAATCGACTGTCTCCATTAGTCCATATTAACTAGTATTCCTCAGCATAAAGCATTAACACTAGTCTTCACCAATCTCCAGAGAACTCTATTTCCCAGCATGCCCCTGCGACTGAGGTATTTGTCCTGTCTGAGCGCCTGTAGTCTCAGTTGTGCGTCTTGTTTCCATTTTTTGGGAAACTTTTCTTTTCCAGTGGACATTTCTTTTTCACATAATGTTCAGCCCGTCTTGGCCTTTCTGCTGAGCTCCAGGTATGTGGAAGATTTGAGGAAGCGTGGGTAGCAGTCCTTCTCCATAAGAGTGTAGATTTTGGCTTGGGCCAAGTCAAAACAGGATGCGGTGGGGTTCTCCAGGTTTGCTCTGGTGATGGCTTTGGTGGTGTGATCGAGATTAACCTTTAAACAAGAAGAGTTACGCATTATTACACTTTTATTCTCATATTTGGGTGATAATTACAGAGTTTGCTTAGTATTCAGTAGAAGTTATTTACTTCTCTTGGTGCATCAGAGCCGATGAACTCATCATAGATTTTCTTGGCTTTTGCTGACATTTTAGAGGGTTTGGAGTTCTTATAGTCCTCACATGCCAAATAGAAAGCAATATTTTCCTCGCTGAATTCGGAAACAAGGAAAGCCCTGTACAGGCAGAGACCATCTGTAAGAAAAAAATATTTTTTAGAATACAACTGACCAAAAATCACAGCAAGAACATGTACTTAAAGGTATGCAATCTGAAAACTTACTTTGGCTGCATAACAGTTTGTCAAAGGACTCCTTCCACTTTAGGGGCTCCTCTAAGTTCAACCTGTGATAAGACAGAGCACTATTTAACCACATGTTTCAAATCAATTAACATTAAAAAGTTAAATGAATTCCTACAATTAAAATACAGAAAAGTACAAATCAAATTTATCATACCTAGCTTTGTCATTCTTCTTGCACTGTGCTGTAACGCAGTGATCTGACTTCTGCAGAAAATTTCCAAACAGTGCTTTAAGCTCTTTTGCCCTGGAGAGGAAGAAAAAAGTGTTAAAATAAATCTGTCAGTAATAGACGTGAGTATGTTTCAAAACGTATTACCGTAATCTTACCGTTCGAGGCAGGTGATCGGCAGTGAGTCCAGTCCTCGACACATGTTGAAGTTTTATGTTATAATCCAAAGAGTAGTAAATTGTAAGTTGTTGTGAGTCCGAGAGCTCTTAGCGCTTGTGCTGTCTGTGTAGGAGAGAGGAACGTCTTTAAACAGTGCCCAGTCAGTGACGTCACTCCTCTCTCAACCAATCAGAGGAGTCCAGTGGGAGGCTGCTCTGCTGAATCTGAATAACATGTGATACTTTATGTGAAGTACTTCAAAAACTACGCGTGTTAAGTGTGTTTGTGTGTCTGTGTGTTTGTGGTTTAGTGAAGAGGACCAGACGTTCTCACAAGGACAGAAAATCCCCTCAAGTGTGAAGACCATGGCAATTTTCACTTGTAAAATATTATCTGACCTAGATCAACAAGTTCCCTTATTAAAATAAAAGTAAAAGGCATGCTTTAAAATAATATACAATTACTTATAATAATAATAATGCACTGGATTTATATGGCTCCTTTCAGAACACTCAAAGCACTTTACTATGTATTATTCATTGCTCTGGCTTGGTCTCCATGAGGATAGAAAGGCTTAATGCCATATTGTGAAACATTCCAGGCAAAGCAATAACATCTCCATGGATAAAAACATTTGGCGGATCTTCTACCACCTTTAATAAAGCAGGAACAAAGACTTAATTCATAATGACATAGCAAATAATGTATTATGTGATTCAGGCTTAGTATTTACTTCATTAAAGGGATAGGTTTACGGTATTAATTTAGTAGTTACTAAGGAGTTACCATGATAAATTATTTGTTCAAGCCTTTGTTCGTGTTTGATTAAGGCTAATTATAAGTTAAATAAGGTAAAAAAAAAACATTGGTGATTTAGTGTTATCTGGCATTATCTGAATTAATGATTAATAAAATGAACTAACAATATTCATCAACAAATGTTCAACATATGGGGCAGTAATAATAGCATTTATATTGACACAGCCCCTTCCCACACTCTCTTATCCAGTAACAGCTAACAACATGTGAGTCGTTAACCTTCTGACACTTTTCTGTCAAAATCCAAAGTTTCACTGTGCTGTTAATGGTGCATTAATCTTTTCCCTGACTGATAATTAACTACGAAAACCCCTTATTAACAAGCAAATCTTTATTAGAGTATATTTATTTATTTAGAAGTTTCTGTTGTTAGCTAAGAATTGTTCATTTAAATTAACTGTATGCATTTGAGTCACGCAGGTTAAAGGGCACATAAGGCACTGTCTGCCAGAGGAGCTCAGGGCTGCAGAGAACGTTCATGTTTTTAAGAGCAGGCTCAAGACCCACTTTTTTAGCTTAGCTTTTGATTAAATTCTTACACTTTTACCTGTTTCTATTCTACACATTTTAGTATATTTATTTATTTTAGGCATATTTTTTTAGGATTTCCAGTGTTTCCTCTGTAGGAGCCCTCTGCATCGGGAGCGGAGGTCGGCTGTGGCTGCCGGGGTTCTGTCCCGTGGGCTCCTGGTGGAGAGTTGGTGCTTAGGCTTCATCTCTCCCCTGGCTCCGGTGGTGGTTCCTGGTGGAGGTGGACGTCTCTCTGCTCCTGGTGTAGACGGCTCCTCTGATGGTGCTTTCTCAACTGGTTCGCCTGTACTCAGCCTCACATTTTACTATAGGGGGATTTTATGTATTTTACTATCTTAGGGTGTGTGTGCGCGCGTGCGTGTGTGTGGGTGTGTGTGTGTGTGTGTGTGTGCGCGTGCGTGCGTGTGTGCTTGTGTGTGTGCGTATGTGTGCGAGTGGGTGTGTGTGTCTGGGTTGTTTGGTTGTGTGGAGTTGGGCAGGTGTGGGGTTGGATAAGTGGGTGGGTGAATGGAAATGTGGGATTGTTTTTAATCACTGTAAAGCACTTTGTGTTACGTTTTTGTATGAAAAGCGCTTTATAAATAAAGTTTGATTGATTGATTGATTGATATTACACTATTTTCTGATCTGTTATAATTGTTATAATTGTTGTTTCTTCATCAAAAAATACCTGGTGTTGTGTTTTGTTTCATTCACACACAAATGTTTAACATACAAATCCTGCATATTTAGGCTGAGTTCTTCTCTTAAAATGAAACACTTGTGATGTCATATAGCAATACAAGAAGTGCTCCACTGTGTTTTTAAACTCAATACAATTTACTAGAAAATAATAGAATTGACATTTGGAATTGCCAATCTCAGGTAAACAAAAGTTAAATGGTAACTATTAATTTGAAAAGTACCACTTCATGACATTATGGGAAAAAAAACCCAAAACAAACAAACAAACAAAAAACTCCAGGTATGTTTTTGATGAGGTAACAACATTCAAACGTGGCTAAAAGCTCAGTAAATTTTGCAAGGGACCTTTCAGTCTTCAATGAGTTGGTTAATTTTCCTTCAAGTTTTGGTCTACTGAAACAACGTGTGTGTGCTTATGTTGAATGTTAATTTGGACGGGCCCCCTTAGTAATACTACCCAATTCGCAGCTCTCACATCCCAGATTCTTAGGTTGTGATTCCATGTTTCCTGCTTGAATTTTAATTTACTGTCACTGAGGTCTATTTTTATCCTGGTCACAGTGAAAACTATTGTTCACAGGCTGAGAATGTCTATCTTTAGTTCTAGCTAACAGAGAAACCTTTGATTGGGGCTGTGTCTCAGTGAGGAGGCAGGAAAAATGCCAGGAAGGGACTAAAATCAAGAGCAGGATGGAAAGACGGCCAGCTTCCTCGGCCCCAGTCGACTCAGACAATGCCTTTACTTGGACTGACTGGGTGAACATTCACTACGGATATTACTACAGCTGCCATACTTCCTCACAATGACAAAGATATTCAGTATAGTTGAAAATTCACAATGTAAGCTAAATAATAATGGAGCTTACTGAGCATATAGAGGCTACATATTCAGCTCATATTTATAATATGCAGAGGTGAGTAAAGTGGCCAAAAATTGTAGTAATATTACTTTAAAACTGTATTACTCAAGTAGAAGTACAAAGTAGTGTTCTAATAAATGACATAAGTAAGAATCAAAAAGTATTTGGAGAAAACCATCTGGTTTTTTCATGCACAAAATCTCGTATTTTCAAAAGATAATATAATATAATAATATCTGAAGTGATGCAACATGAATATTTTGTGTTACTTCTAACAAAATAGTAAGTATGCAATCTGAAAACTACTCAGAAATAAAGAAAATTAAGTTAGTTAAGAAAATGTTACTGAGTATGTTTAACTCCCCACCTTTAATAATATGGAGGGCAAAAGGGAGAAGTAGGCCTACATGTGACCAGATTTCAGATCCATAAATGAGTTTTGCTGTGTGTCCTCTGTAATGTCATGAGACCAAAGAAGGGAGAAGTTCGTTGTTGTAGTTCTGTTTTTTTTATGTCGTGTCTTTCTTCAGTCTGCACTGTCACTTATTTTGTCCACAGTGGGTAACCATAGAAACTGTGTCACTGAGAGATTACCTTTTACTTCAAGTTCAGTTAAACCATAATTCTTTTAGTTTTGTGCAATGTAATGACTCAAACATTACATGTTTAACCTGTAAAATTTACCATGGTAGACATCTTGCTTGAATCAAGCTTGAAGGAACTGTAAACCAAAGATGGGAGTGAATTAAAGCAGACCTATAATGAAAAATCGACTCTTCAGAGCTTTTAACCATATTATAGTTGCATCCCCTTCTCATTTGCCTTCTCAAAGTTGTTTTTGGAGTGATTTGTGCTTGATTGAGCAATCTTTAATCGCTTATTTTCACAGCAGCATCAGCTCCCATTGGGTATCTCAGGTTTCTAGCACAGGGGTCAGCAGATTTGTTTCTTTTAGATCAGTATTTCGGCTTAAATTGTGCAAATTATAACACAATGATCCACAAGTGTCATAGATTATAACTATAAAACAGACACAAGCACTATATGTCTTCTTTAACAGAGCCAGACAGTTCACATACATCATCTTATTTTCAGTGTATATCTATTGGTAGTTCAAGATCCACAAGGGAAATTATTGTGACACAAGTAGGTTGTAAGTTCACAGTCTAGTTATATGTAGTAGAAAATAAAGAGGACAGTCATTTTGTTGATGGCTCAAAGACCACTGTTTGAAGCATGACATACACATTATAAGGTTACTTACATGGTGTAGGCTAATAACTACACTATACAGTGCTCTGGGTGCCCTGGTGCCAATCTTTTCATGACACAGCTGTTGCTTATCCACTCTTATTCCTTACAATGTCACGTTACATCACCCGTGCCACTGTTACAACTCTCCTAGGCCCTGAATACACAGTGACACAAATACCCAGAAACCTCATCAACTAGATTGAATAGCTCACTTTTCTATTTGTGTTCTTTTGTGTTGTCAACCAAGGTTTGCGAACAAAACAGGTATGGCCACACAATGAACACACTCCGTTAAAGTTAAGTTAAATTCAGTGAAAAGTGGCCTATTAAAAGTCTATTCACTTTAAGTTGACTAAGCAAACGTGACCCAATTTAGGTAGCGTATACCAAAAAAAGACACATCTTAATTTGGTGTGGCACGTGCTAAAATTGGTCCCACTTTCACCTGTTGGTCAGTGTTCTTTTATGATACAAAAAAAGCCTGATATAAAAAGCATAATTCATTCAGTGTGACATTTCCCATCAACTAGATTATAGCATTTAAAAAGTGCTGTTTTCAAGTGGAAAGTCCACCAACTGCTTGTCTCCATGGAGACGTTATTATTTTACCTTGAATGTTCCGCAATATGGACGTAAATACATTGCTTCATGAAGACAAGCAGATGGTACCACAAGGCCAATTTACAGGTCAGATCTAAGGAGCGGTGTCCTGGATCACATAATTTTAAAGGTATGTTTTGAACAATATAAAGACCTAAAATTTATATGCAAGATTTAAATGGATGTAAAAAGGTTTAAATCATTTTAATAATTATTTTTTTGTTTTAAAAATATGTTGTGGCTCATATTCACATTAGACTATTTCAACTTTCTGCTCTGTTGAAAGCCACTTCCTGTATTAGTTGCTTGCAACTGATCATGTCAAAGCTTGTTCTTTGGAAGCAGCAGTCATTAAATTCCCACTGCTT